GACTTTGGTAGGTAAGATGATTGCAACTTTTCGACGTAGAAGTGAAACGACCCTTCATGGCGTTTCGTTAAGGGTTATGCGCTTTAACGCAGGTTGTATTACCTTAACGACACATTTATTGCATTCCGATTTCCTCTCCGTGATAAGCGTTTTGGGTAACCGCTGGAGAATTCCTTTTCTAATTTGGTTCATCAATACGCATTTAAGTTAAGGTTTTTAGTAGTAATCTGCATTGATCCATTCATATGAATAGAAATAAATCGTACGAAGCAATCCCTGCACCGGTTTTTGATAGACTTACGTTTTGTATTAGTTTTCTTCGAAAACTCCTCAAAAGGGTAAATCAGCAGTTTATTGAATTTCATTGGTAAATTTGATGTGATTCGGAAAGGCATTGACTGATGAGGTGGCAGAAATGCAGGATTCTGTGCCCTTTGTGCAAATTATAACGGCGTGTCAATATATCTTCTAAAAAAACAGATCGAATACTTAATCCGTTTTTCTTAAATCCGTCATCGCTGCCTGTTTAGAAAAATTCTATGATTCCTCAGAACGGTTACCGTAACCTGTACTCACCCTTCTTAATCTGTGTTTACTTTACTGTGAATGTTTTCCCTGATAATGGTCAGCGTGTAGTTAGGCTGAAACAACAGTTTTAATGAGCAATTCCATTTATCTGTTTTCTTATATCTAAAACTCTTGAGATGCCAGTTTATTAAGGAGGACACTAAGTTGATGAGTTTCAAAAATCATTAAGGTAAAGTTATGTGACTTTACGCTATTTGCATAACTGTTGTACGCTTCTGAAAACTGATAGCGAATTTTTGAATCAAAAGGCTGACTGTTCGGAGTTATCTGAAGTTTGTTTTGTATATGATTTTTCAATTGCGTAACAACAACAGTAATGACTAGTGGATAGAGTATGGCACTCACAAGCGATACCTTGACGTTCATGATTATAGTTTGGACAGTGAATCGCCCAAGTAATGTTACAGGTTATTACTCCGTACCTTATTGTCTTCAGTACCTGACATTCTACTAGTAACTTCTTTATCTCTGTTGTCATTGTATACTTTTTCTTACCGTTGATTTGAAAATTGCAATTTTTAAATTCATGCATTGTTATATATCACATGAAACTTCCACTAACTTCTCAAATGCAGTACTCGGTAAACATGTTTCACGTAACCGTAGCGTTGTAATTACAATAGACGGGTCTGTTACAGATGAAGTAGCGGTAAATTAATCAAGCTGTTATATTTTTCTCTCTGACTAGAATAAGTAAAAGTAATCAAAAGTACATTGGATAAAGCCTTGTTAATTTTCTTAGTTTTGCAGCATCCGTTTAGCAGTTGAATTTCCTATTATTGACGATTATGATAATTTGCATACGTAGGAACTGTCGAGCGGAATGGTGATCACAAAAGTTGGTGTGTGTTCGTTGAACCAGTGGGCAATGGACTTCGAAGGCAACCGTGTTCGTATCCTCAAAAGTATGTCTGATCAAGACATGTTTTGTTTTTCGGCGGTGATTTATGTTGACTAATTGTTGCAGGCATACGGCAATGTAAGGAAAATGGGGCTCGGATTCGGGTCGGTAGCGAGCTCGAGGTGTGCGGTTACGGGTGCAAAAGCCATTTTCTCGAAGCGGATACATACTTTCACGCCTGGCAGGTGGTAGCTTCAATTATGTGTTCCGACTTCTGCGAGGGAATGCTGGTTGTCATCGGAATGTATTCAGCTCTGACCCCCCCC